GATTGGGGGGGGCCATCATAAACTGTAGATAACCTTGAGAAGAAAGGGAATTCCAGAACCCTTACTTCACTGTGCTCATGTGGAAGTTAGACCTGGATCAAGAACAGAACAAGGGAATACTGCATGGTTTACACTCAAGAAAGGTATGCATTAGGGTTGTACCCTCTCACCTTACTTGTTCAATACATATGCCGAGCAAATCATCCAAGCAGCTGGATCATATGAAGAGAGTGTGCAGCAGCATTGGAGCAAGCCTGATTAATAACCCTGCTTGCTGAAAGTGGAAAGGAAGTGAAGCACTTGCTGATGAAGATCAAGGATTGTAGTCTTCAATATGGACGTAAGGAAGACCAAAACCCTCACAACTGGACACGTTGTGAGGTACAATAGTAACAGCATGATAAATGGACAAAAGGTTGAAGTTATCAAGGACCCACAACCAATGCCCATAGAAGCAGCAGTCAAGAGAGCAAAAAGACTTACTGTGCATTAGGTAAATCTGCTGCACAAGGTCTCTTTAGAGTACTGAGGAGCAAGGATGTAACTTTGCAGACTAAGGTGCACCTGACCCAAGCCCTGGTGTTCTCCATTGCATCATATGCATGTGAGAATTGGACATTGAATAAGGAAGGCCGTAGAAGAATTGATTCATTTGAATTGTGGTTCTGAAGAAGAATATTGAAAGTACCATGGACTGCTAAAAGGACAAAGTGATCTGTGTTGGAAGAAGTAAGGCCAGAGTGCTCCTTAGAGGCAAGGATGTCTTACATATTTTGGACATATTGTCAATAGAAAGCAGTCCCTGGAGAAGGACATCATGTTTGGTAAAGTGGAGGGGCAGGAAAAAAGAAGACCCTGAACAAGATGGACACAGTGGCTGCATCAACGGGCTCAGGCACAGGAGCAATTGTGAGGCTAGCACATGGCCGTGCAGTGTTTTGGTTTTTTTGGCATGGGCTGCTAAAGGTTGGATTCAATTTGATGACACTTAACAAAACAAGAAAGTATAATATCATAACTAATCATTAAAACAGAAATAAATTAGTAAAAGTATAAATAGCAAGAGTGGTCTAGACACCCAAGTACACAAGCGTTTGTCTTTTTAAGAATTTGATAATGATGGACATGCCAGCATCCATTATAGGTGTATAATGGAGTGAACCACAATTATTTAGAAATGAAGTCCAATTAGACCACTTGGGAGTAGGAGAAGAGGAGATGTAATTTCCTAATTGAAAAGTCATTTAGACAAAGGTTGTTATTTAGGTCTATCCCTTGAGGCTCTTAAATCAACTTGAACACACACACACACAACAAAGAAACATTAAAAGTTAAAACTGTGCTACCAATCAATGCTGAATTTAAATGGAAAAGAAGTTTAAATGGTACAAGACTTATTGCTTTCAGTTAAATATTATAGAGGACTCAACAAGAAAATGACTATTAGTTAACTCCACACACACACACATAAGAAACCAACCAACAAACTGAACCCTTCCATCCAGTCAATTCTGGCTCATTGTGACCCTATTTAGGGTTCTCAGACTCTTTAACTCTTTATAGGAGTACAACATGGTGCAGCTGGTGGGTTTGAACCCCTGAACTTGTTGTGGCTGGCTTCCAAATGCCTAATCCACAGTGCTACCAACGTTCCTTATTAGTTAGCTATAGAGAGAACAATAGCAACATTATTTCTATGTGCTTACATACTGCTAAAGGACCCCTGGTCGTGCAGTAGGTTAAACATTGAGATTCTAACCATAAAGTTAGTGGTTCTACCCACCAGTCACTTAGAACAGAAAGAACTGTCTGTTCTGATAGATTTAGTCTTCGAAACTCTAGGTCATTCTAGTCTGTCCTTTAGGGTTGTTATGAGAATCTATTCAATAGAGATGGATTTGACATGGTGCGCACTCAAGTCAAAAATAACTCTGAAGGGTAACCAATTAGTATCCCCATTTTACACCTAAAGAAACTAAGATATTGTCAGGCTAAGAAACTGCTAAGTCACACAGGTAGGAAGTGTTGGAAATTCAGGATTCAAATCACCCTGATTTGTTTTTCTTTGATTTTTTGTTTTGTTTTGTTTTTTTGGTTTGTTTTTCTCAGTTGCCCTCAAATCAGTTCCAACTCATAGTGACCTTATGCACAACAGAAGGAAACACTGCACTGCACAGCTCTGCTCCAGCCTAACAACTGCTCATATGCTTCAGCCCATTGTTGCAGTCACTGCCAATACATCTCCTTGAGGGCCCCCTCTAATTTACTATGCATGATGACCTTCTCTGGGGACTGGTGTCTCCTGATAACATTTCCAAAGTATGTAAAAAATGAGGAGCTGATACCAAGGGCTCAAGTAGAAAGAAAATGTTTTGAGAATGACGACGGCAGCAAATGTACAAATGTGCTTGACACAATGGATGGATGGATGAATTGTGGTAAGAGTTGTATGAGCCCCCAATAAAATGATTGTTTTTAAAGTCTTGCCATCCTTGCCTCTAAGAAGCACTCTACTTGTACTTCTTCCAAGACAGATTGGTGTGACCTTTAAGCAGTCCATAGTATTTTCAATATTCACCTTCAGCACCACAATTCAAATGAATCAATCCTTCTTTGGGCTTCTTCATTCAAGGCATAACAGTCTTTAAATTCATCATTTCTTCCTGTGCAGTGACAGTGTGGGAGAGAGGGCTGGGGAGAGGTACTCTATAAGGCAAGATCTGAGAACAGTTTGAGGATTTGCTTCATTATTTCAGTCAGTCTGTACACACTGAAATTATTAGATACTCTATGGTATTAATTATTCTTGATACCAGCCATGAAAACAAAGTTCACCTTATATATCAGCAATGTCTTTTATGCCAACACTGCTACTTTTTCTTTTCTTTTAGTAGGATGGCAATGCCAGACCTCTTCTATGTCTCCTCAATCCCAGTTCATTCTAATAAGGTCTTGGAAGTCCCTAAAGGTATCTTCTGGGGCATTCTAAAAGAGGTCAAAACGGCAAAGCTTTCCTGAATAGCAGAAGCCTTTGCTGAGTATAAATCTTTATCTCCCTGGCTGTTGCTATCTTCCTTGATGCACAATACTCTATTGTTTATTCTCTGGGCGGACATTGTGAAGATTCTCTCTTTTGGAGGTCGAACATGTCTGTGGTGAGCAGTATATGTTAGATAGCAGTAGGCAATGATATGGCATGCCAATAACAATATGTTTTATCATTTAATGACATTCTCATTTTTAAGATATTCAAGCTTCTGGTTGTGGTGGAATTCACACTGAAATATTTAAGCACACGTGTCTTTTAAATATTTCTATCTGTCTAATAGAGTTGGTGGTAAAATTATTTCTGCAGTCTAATGTTCTGGCTAGGTTACAAAAAACAGCAGTTGTTAAACAACTTAACATTAAATATTAAAGGATAAATGTAGCATTTAAAACATTAAGTTCAATTGTCTCAGGCGTCCTATAGCTCAGTCTTTGGTAAGCACAAAGTTAGTCTATCAGGGTGGACAATTAATGACACTCTAGTTTCAATTTTGAAATTTAGCACAATGTGCTGCTAAACATAGAAAGACCCTCGGAATTTTACCTTTAGGATTTTATCCGTAGCAAGAGCCTATTAAAGCTATTTCTGTGTGCCTTTTTCTCTTTGTGCGACGTCACCGATTTAAGGATTTTATTTATTTAATTAATTTTAAGAAGAAAGAAGAGGTTCTGTGGAGATCCCAGACTTTTGTCTACTAACCACAAGTAGGCATGAGATGGGGTGGGGTGTGTTCCCGAGGTGCGGCCACACAGGAGGCTAAGCAGGTAGATAATTCAGCACTCCCCTCTCATCTCATTCCACCCAAGAAATTCGGAAGAATGCGAAAAAGCAGCAGCCCAGCATTTTTTAAGGGGCGTGGCTTCCCTCCAGGGGATGTCCAATCGAATTCCTTCAGAGGGAGCTAACGGGGGAGATTGATGAGGGTTGCTAGGCAACAGGAGCGTCTCCCTCCCACCTGACCCAGAGCTGGCTCTGCCGGCGCCCTCCCCTGGGGCAGCGTGCGGGGCAGAGCTGCGCACCTGCCCTGGCCTCTGGGGCTCAATCCCTCCCTCTCAGAGCCTGCTCCTCCTTTATCCCCTGAATGTGGTGGTCAACCCGTAGCCAGGGGACCACGGAAGAGTTCTTCCAAGGGCTGGCCCTTAGTCCCTGCTCTCCCTCAAACCCAGGGCTCCAGAAGAGCTTCAAAGTTGGAGCCACCGCCCACCCGGCCGCCCCACGCCCCGTGCACCCCACTCCTTTGAGGCATCCACCTTTGCCTGCGCTGTCTAAGCTTTCAAATAGAGTGAGGGGAGGCTGCCGGCAACACCGCCTAGGCAGGCCACGTCACCAACCTCTCCTCTCGGTCCCCTGGCTCACCGAAGACTGCAGATATCACCCCCCCTCCCGCCCCCCATCCTAGGAGGGAGGCGGAGGTGGAAGGGAGAAGAAAGGGGGGAACGGGCCGGGAAGGAGGAGTGCATGCCAAGAGGATCTCATCTCTGATGAGCGTCCCCATTAAAGGAGACGGCTTCTTCTGGCCCAGGGGAGGGAAAGTTGCTTCTGCGCCTGGGAAGTGGCTTTGCGGGTTTGCGTGTCAGGAGGACCGGGAGGAGGAGGAGGAGGAGGAGAACTCAGCTGGGACGTGCTCCCCCACACGGAAGACCACTGGCTTTCCCCCTTTCTCCCTCTCCCCGCACCCCTGCGGGGGGGCCTGGGGGCTCCGCCACTAGGCAGGGGGCCAGCTTGCAGCCGGAGGGGGTGGGGGCCGGGGGCACGGTGACAGGCAGCAGCGCGCACAAGTTGGCCATTTAGGGGCCACAGAAGTTCTCCCTTGGCTTCGGAAAGGACAAAGCCCGCAAGCGACCTCGTTCCGGTCGGTCGAGGAGGACCCACCATGAGCCGGAGCCCGGGCGCCCGCTCAGCCGCCACCAGCGCTGCCACCGCGGCCAGCTCCAGTCCAGTCGGCGCCGGGAGTCCAAGGCGCGAGGTAAGGTGCGCCGAGCAGGACCCGGCCCCGGGACGGTGCCCGCCGGGGCCGCGGAGACTCGGGCTTGGCGTGGGGCGGGCGCAGGCGGTAAAGTTGAGGCCGGGCACGGAGCGGTCCCCACCGTGGTGCCCAGGAGGGCAGGGCGGGGGGCAGAGGCGATGTGGGTGAGTTTGGGGGTGTGCCCGCACGCCGGTGTCCCTGGCAGGGAGGGACGGAGGGAGGGAGGTTCCAGGGCAAAGATCGGCGGCCAGAGGGCGCGAGGCAGAGGGGCGACAGAGCACCCACGGACCCCCGAGAGCAGAGGGCCCACTCGGGATCCCGTCAGCCCCAGCCCGAACGGGGCTCGGGATTCTGTTCTGGGGGCTCCTTGGCCTTTGTGCCCACGAACCGGTGCGGCGGCCGGCTGGCGCACACATGGGTGCTGTGGGCTTGGAGGTCGCCTGGCGGCAAGGTGGGCAGCGGTCAGTGGAACAAGTCCGGTGCAGCGGATCAGCTCTGCAGCACGCGCGCAGGTTCCACCTCCGGCAAGCTCGCTGGCAAAGGTGCCCTCGCTCCTGCCCTCTGCGCCTCGGGCTTGAGCAGAACACCCACCCCCACCCCGAAGCCAGACTGGAAGCCTATCTCTCCCTGGATCCTGTTCCATTTCCTTATCTGACAATGAGATAACTCAGAGAGGGCGGGAGATTCTCGGTCCAGAAATAGGCTAGGTGATATCTCAAATACGCTTGTTTCCACGGAGTTCATTTAGATTTCCTTCAAGTTCCTTCCTTGGTTCATAGAGGTAGGTGATTTCGTGAAGTATAGCACTTTTAGATAGATATTTTGGAGGAAAGGTGTTCCTCCTTAAGTATTTTACAGCCCTATGAAATGTTGACTCTTTCGAAACGAAACACGTCTAATGGTCTCCGTTCAGCTAATTTCCTAATAAAAGATTTCTTTTGCTGCCTTAACAGTCATAAGTGTATTGGGGGAACATAGATGGTTACACATTGATATATTCAAAGTTGAGGTGAGAATGAGTTAAGGACTCCAGTAATGGTTCACTTGTGAATTTCTTTGCTTGAATGTCTTTGTCACCTGTTCTGAGAACTGTTAAGGAGAGATATCTTGTGTTTCCTTGAGGGGGAAGAAAGCACTCATTTCCAGACAAATATCATTCACTTACCTAAGTCTAAACCAACTTTGTTTTATTTGGTCACAGATTTAAAGCGGCTCTTTGAACTCTAGTGGTTTGCACAGGTGTACTGAGTATAGGTGTGACTGAAAGCATCCAGCTTGCCATTCTACTAAACTCCCCGAGCAACACCATTTCTACCAAAGATGTCCAGACACTTAGTTATTGCTTAATGATTCTATAGTGTTTTGTACCTTAATTTCCCCTAAAAGGGCCATATAGAATTTGAGTATATTTGGAAGCTATTGTACACCAAACTTCTAAAGTGATATTTTCCCTTTCATAATGACAAGGTCATGGTTACAAAGGTTTCCCTAACCTGTAGCTTCTAACCCTCCTGCCTTCAGGGTTCTGATCACCCAGCAGGAATACAAAGAGGGTTTCAAAAAGGATGTCCTGAGGCTACCTGCGTTTCCCGTTGGGACTTAAATGGAAGCCCAGGATGCAAAATGAGATGAGGACATGAAACTTACACTTTCAAAAGAACAACTATGTAGATTTCAAAATAGCTACATAATGGGAAATGAAAGTGGATAAATTTTAAGAATATATTTTGGTGTTGATAAGACACCCCTTCAAAAAAAATCTAGGTTCTATCAGATAGATCTTTGAATAAGCTGTGAGACCAAAGCATTGAAAATAACCCAACAAAAGAAACATGGTGGGCTAGACCTCAGGACTTGGGACAGGCGCACCTCTCGACTTATTTAAATGGAAAGGTATTTTTCACACTTCAAAAACATGTGACTGAAAAGTTGAAAAACTGTGGAAAGCCACATGACCAAAAATATTTGAATTAATGAAACTATTTTATGATGCACTCATTTGTGTATGATGATTTTTATTAAAACATCATTTACACATGAAAAGAAACTATTGTAAATCAGATGAGCTACCTCACAATTATAGAATATCAAAATAATTATTCCATTTTGGATTTTTTGTCACTGCAATTAAAATTGGTATAGAGAACAAATGCAATCATATCATTAAAATTTAATGATCTTGATTTTAATTTTAATCAATATTGTATTAAAAGAACTGGGATCATTTTCATATGGTCATGTCTTATTTCCCTGCTTTATAGCAGATGATCAACTATTACAGCACAACACTGAGGGTGGTCTTATTTTGCATTTTTCTTTTTTTTTTTCTTTCCAGTTCTCTAGTAATGATCAGTCATAAAATGATTCACGATCATTTTCTGGGTCCTTACTACCTCCTGTCAAAATGTAGCCCATTGGCTTGGAGATGTGGAATTTCTGTTCGTTTTCTTACACTCGAGATTATTCCAAGAAACCATTAAACAAAAGCAATAAAAATTAATACTTAATTTCCATTGGAAAACAAGTACAGCCTGTATTGGAATGTAGCCAGGCTTTCAGGGTGAGCTGCCTTTTCTCTTGGGGTGATCTTCCCCCCACCCCCACCCCCGCCCCGAAAAAGCAGCTGTACTCATAGTTGTCCTTCTTTTGCTATTTCACCTTGTTCAATATGTATTTTAGATCATTTGAGATCCTACTAACTGCATTTAATCTACATGAGAGTAATTTGTTGAAATTGCTCCTAAGAAACAGCACAAACTGATAAATGGATATCCATCTAGATTAAATCTGTAAAATCAGTAAAGTCACAGCAATCAACTAGACAATAGAAGCTATTAGGTCATCCTCCCTTTTCTACTTCTAATGTAGGCTTGGTCCCATAGCATACTGTATTTTGGCGTATTCCAGTCCAGTCTAATTTTAAATGATTCAAGTAATGACTTCTTCCAGGGCCTTTGGAAGACTATTTCACAGTCTAATGGTTCTCCCTATTAAGAACTTTGTTGTGATACTCAGCCAATTTTCCCCTGGTTCTATTTTATCTTGTTATTTACTCCCTATAAAACCCCTCCAGGCTAGTCCATTCTCTTGCTGGATCTGGTCTTCAACCAGCACGTGTGTAACCCTTGCAGAGCACAAAAGCTTTATACAGTTACAAGAACGGAGACAAAGGTGTCAGCCCTACACCCAGACGTCTTTGCTAAATCCTGAAGACACATCTTGCTCAAAATTCATCTTACTAATTCAAGAGTAAGGAAATTGCCTTCTGTAACATTAATGACCTATGTACTATGGAAATGAACCCTTCAAAGTAAAGCTCTATGAGGATGCACATTTGAGGCCCTTTCATTGGAAATTTGTTATCAACAGAACTCTGTCAACGCCCACACTACTCTGATGCTCCACTGAGCCCCAGAAGCTGTTGCCATGTAAATTCTGCCTTTGAAATGAAAGCGATTTCCATAATTAATAGAATGTGTTGGGAATATAATAGTGCATGTAGTTGGGATCTGGGCTTCCAACTGTTTCAGTTGGGTTCCGCACCCTGCTGAGGATTTGCCTTTCCATTCAGATATATTGAATTATCATGTACATTTTAATAAGATGTCCAGATTCCATATATATATGAGAATTACCTGGGGATCTGTAAGAATGTGGGAGAGGGTTAAACTGGAATTAATTTGGATGTATAAATTAACACACCATATTATTTGTTAAAATTTTCAGTAGCCCTGTCATGCTGAAACAATGTTGAAAGAACCAGAAGAAATAAGTCCAAATTCTTCATTGTGCTTTGTCAGGAAATGTAAGCTTAAATCATGCATACATCAATATGGCATTATACTATATTTAAGTTTATATTTAGATACCATATGTGAAGGTTACTTTTAAAATAGAAAAGCCTGAAATTATCTGAAGAGAGGAAAAGGTTTACACCTTGTTCACTAAAAATGTGGTTTCAAGGCATTCCTGTGGAAGCTTCTTTAAGATTCTTATGCAAATATCTGGTAGACTCACCATCCCACTCAATTGTTTCTTTAAGTCCCAGGCATTGAGTTGCAAGTTATCCTAGACAGCAGAGGAGTAAATGATACATCAGAAAATCAGTTCCTAGTTTCCATTTGGCAAGTCTAGAAAGAAGAGGACTCAGAGTAAGGTGAATAAACAGCTAAAAGCACAAGTTACTACTGTCTTCTTTGCTGTTTATTGAGTATTAGATGATACATAGAAAGAGGCATGTGGATTAAGTTAAGAAAACAGTAAAGAGAAATTGAAAATAAAAACTAAAAATATTCTTTTAGGGAATAAAATTAGATTGTATGGAATAAATAACTTTTAAACAAGCATCCTACTCCCAATGCCCCAAGTTGTTTTTATCGCCCCATTCATCACATAGTGGTGAGTACCCTCCAAATGATTTTCCTTAGAAACAAAGAAGAAATCAATTTTCTTGGTAAAGGAAAAGTAGGCCATTAATATATGTGACTTCTCCCTGAAATATAGAGAGAATTCTAAGAGTCTGTTTCCACACAGAATGTAGTCTTTCTTTATCAAATGCATAGTCTTTTTATGATACAGAAAAAATTGTGCAATGTACATAAAGAACAGGAGAGAGAAATAAACTGAAACAACACTCAAATATAATCTATATGAGCATAGACTAAAATACTGATTGAGAATTAAGCCATATATGAGAAGGTATCTCCACATAATATTTTTTATCTTGAATGCTGTCAGAATTTATGTCACACACACACACCATTTATCTAAATTCAATTGGAAGACTATAGATAACCAATAAATGATTAGACTTTGATAAACATAATACAAGATACATAGTTGGGAGGAAAAGAACAATCTCTATATGCAGCTTGAAGTGGGGAGGAAGTAAGAGTACACACTTAGGAAATTCCCCTCAAAGGCGATTACCAAATGAAAGATAGCTAATAGAGGAGCCATCAGTAACTAAGAATTTATTAAACATTTATTATGACCAAAAC